CACGATTTGTTCCCCCGGTCTAAATCACGGACAAACAGCATCCAACAGCTGTTTATGTTTTTAAACCCATTTTGCACAGAGAGACATTTTTAAAAAAATGTATTGATAGCAATGTTGAATATTATTACACAGGAAAAAAATCAACTACATGTAAAATAATCACACAGTGACACCTCTGCCTTTGTAAATGGAGGGACAGTAACTGCGTGTGTATATGTAAGCGTGTAAAACCTGAAGATATTAAGATTAACAGTATTTTGTCTCTATCTGCCACTCTGCAATTTATCTCATGTAAACAATAACGGGCGAACATTTTTCTTGTAAAACAAAGGGGGCCCAGCAAAAGAAGTTTGGGAACCACTGTACTAAGGTAAGCAGCAGCCAGGTGCTGCTAACTGATCAACAGGACAATGATCCTAAACACAGCAGCAATACAATCTTACCTTGAAAGCTTCTTTCTTCTTGCTGATGATCTTCAGGTTGACACTGGGTGTAGCAAACAGCAGAGCATCTCTCTTGAGTTCAGGAAGTTCTCTCTCTAAGGTCTCTTGTAAGAGAGAGAAGTCGTACAGGTGGAGCTCAAAGCTGGACACCAGGAAGACCTGTGGAGACTTGATGCCCAGTCTTCTGACTCCTGTGTCACAGAAGGAAAACATGTTGTGACGATCATAAATAGAAAACTAAAATGATTTTAAACTAGCTGTTCTTATTTTCAGTTTCCTGCAAACCTGCGGAATTGCATAGTGTGTTCTGTATTCTGTTCCCTTCTGACAGGTGATCTCTCTCTCATATATATATATATATATATAAATAAAACGTATTTAATTAATTTATCTTCTAACGTTATATTTGGTCACCGCAGCTCTGCCTGTGAGCACAGAAGCCCCACCCACCTGCTGTTCCAACATTCTGTTAATGAGGGGCAGCCAATCAGAGCAAAGAGGTTGTAAGTGGCCTTAAAAGGGAAGGCCCGAAAACAGCTTATTTCATACAATGAAAAAGTATACAGCAGCAGATTTAAATTATTTTATTGTCCAGTTGCAGCCAAAACTAACACCATCATTAAATCCAGAAACTGACCTCAGGAAGAAATCACACTGGTCTGCAACCAAAAAACTGGATAGAATTTCTGGACTGTTTTTCACAGATTTTTACTCACTGAAACCGGGAAATACATTTTAAAAATTCCATCTTGTCAGGGTCAAGTCATGGTTTTGGTTTTTATTAAATGTGAAATTTCCCTTTTTAAACCGAAATCTGGTATCCTATACTTGAATCAAAAAACCATATCCAATAATGATTTCATACATT